GTTTGGGGGGGGGTGGGGTCCCGATCGGTCCCGGACGTGTTTTGGCAACAAAGTCCAGCCGACAGCAAGACAACGGGCGTCGGGCGTGGTGAATCCGCTCTGGACGGCGGCCACCTCGACGTCCCCACCACCACACACGAACTATGCACACATACCCAGCGAGCGATACTCAAATTAAGGCACATTAATTTTGACGCCCATCTTCCATCTTATGCCAAAAACGAAAATATTTTGACGCTAAAATGCCCCAGTGACGTGTCATGCTCCTGAAACATTTTGCTCAAAAAGCAGTAGTTTGAGACGCGTGTTTGGGCATGCCGCCGGTTTAGCGCCGGTGGCCCGAGGGCAAGGTCCGCCACCCTGCAAGCTGCAAGCAGCAGCGAGCCCCGCGGCCTGCACCGCGCCACTGGAAGTTGCAATAAGCACCGTGATGCAACGTCGTGCAGCATACGACACGCGAGCACGCACGCCCCGCCCCGCCACCACGCTCGCATAGAGAGAGCGCGCGCGCGCGCGCATGTGTGTGTGTGTTTACTCTGCAGGGTGGGTGCATCCTCTCCCGGGCTCCTCCCGCCCTCCTGTCCGTGGGGCGGCCTTCGCAGATCCGTGTCAATGCCAAAAACAAGCGCACCCGTGCACAACATGAGTGTACACTACAGTACTACATGGTGATGGCGCTGACGATGATAATTTTATGGGTTATTCATTTATTACGTCGAGTGTCGTCCGTCTGTAGTACAACGTATTGGATGTTGCGGTCGGTTCACCATACCCCGTAATTGGGGACAGAAAAGACAGATCGAGCTCATGCACCTCGTGCTCTTTCAAACATATCGTTGTAAATTAATTTAATCTTCACCACTTTTGTAGTTATACTGTTGTACATACTGTACCGCATGCAGGCGTGCGGGCGGGTTGCCTATCCGGTCGGGAGCCGTAAGGCGCCGTGGTCAGCGACAGCAGGCAAACCGGCCCGCACGGCGCACGCCTGCCTGCGGTACAGTATATGTAGCTAGCCACAAAAGGGCGCGAGGACTCAGTCCCAGTTGGTATAGCGAGTTTCACATCAGGTGACAATTATTTTGGGAGGTTTCAGCGTCGTCGGCGTCGTCACTGGCCAATCGGACGAGTTCGTATTTTCGACTAGGCCTATACTGATAAGCTTTCAGCCACCTG